TTTTTTTTTTTTTTGTAATTCTCAATAGGATCATTTTAACCAAATCCTGGTCCCCTTTTCTCTGCAGTAGATAAGCACTCTCAAACTTCACTGTCTCCTAGTTGTCCCACTTGTAACAACACTCACCAGTTCCTGGTGCATCTGCTGCAGGTACTTGTAGCATTTCTCCACGTCGTTCTTGGGTCCACGCAGGGTGACAATGTTGCTCTTCTTGCCTGGGTCAGGGAAAGTGATCTGTACCTGGTTGAACTTGTCCCGCACCTCTTTAATCTTGTCGCCCTTGGCCCCGATGATGGTCCTGTGGAAACGCTGCTCTATCATGATGTCCTTGCTACGCTCATTTTCCTAAAATACAACACAAAAAAGCTATTTTTATATACTTGAAAGATAATGATTCTGTGGTGCTTTTACTCTTAAGATGTCAATTTTAATAGTATTCTAAAAGGTCTTTTCACCATTATAAGATGCCAATAATAGTAAACTACTCGTATTTTTCACCATAATTCATCAGATACGTACCATTTTCTCCACCATCTCCATAAGCTCTGCCTTGGCCTTCTCCACTCCCTTGGGATCGCCCTCAATGCGGATGATACGGCTACCCTCGCTGTCAGAGGGAATACGGATTGCAACACCAGTGTCATTTTTGATTCTTGTAACTGAAAAAAAGACACACTAATTGTTACAAATACAACTAGAGAGGTCTACCCAATTTGACTGAAAGGATCCTTATTTTTAATAATGAATGAGAAACAGGTTTACCAAACTTAACTAGAAACATGTCAATGTTGATTATGACTGAATTAGGTTAACCCAACTTAACTTGAAACATACCAATATTGATAAACACTGATACAGGTCAACCCAACTTGACCAAAATCAACCCAATTTTGATAATGACTGAGTAATAGGTCTACCCAACTCAAATGGAAACCTGTAAATTTTGACAACAACCGAGATAGGTCTACTGACTGAAACAAGTGGACCCAGCTCGACTGAAAACGCGATACCAACTCCTACTCACTGTTAGCACCATTCTTTCCGATGATATGCTTGTGATACTTCTGGTTCACATCCAGTTCAGCGTAGGCCATTCTGGTCTGCAGGTCCTGGGTGATCTCCCCCAGGGCCTTCTGGGCCTGCTCCACCTCGTCTGGGGGACCCTCAATTACTATCTTGTCCTGGCCCTCTGTGAACTCTATGTGGACCTGAAGAGGTATAATCAATATGACTCAATTCACTTCATGTGGACCTGAAGTTGCATTATCAACATAACTTAGATGAGGATTATTAATTATTAGTAGCTATGCCAGCATTTGATCAGCTCGATAAATAAATATATATATAAATTTCAAGAATACTTACAATAAGTGAAATAATAACGATGAATAAATATTCAAAATTATTACACTGAACCTTAAAACAACTATGGAGTAAGGGTAGTATATTAACTTACTTTTGGCAAGTCTTGTGTTATCTTGCGGATGGTGGCACCTTGACGGCCAATGATGAACCGATGCAGCCATGCTGGGGCCACAACTTCAGCTATTACCACAGAGTTAGCCTGAAAAAATAAATAGAAATGGAAAATGCTGCATTACACAGTTAAAATGTACATAACTTCATATCAGAAAGATGAAAAGACATTCCGTCAGTCATAACAGACCCACACACCAACCTTAGAATACACCATGGTCTCCCTCGCTCCTTCCCCCTCCCTCCCTCTCTCTCTCTCTCCACTTACCTTAGAATACACCATGGTCAGTGCAGGTCCCAGTTTGTCCTGCTCACCCCTCAGCGTGATGGTCTCAGATGGACTGTCCAGTGGGGGGACCTCCACGGACACCCCTGTGGCCTGGAGGATTTCGTTCAACGCCCCAGCACGAGGTCCAATCACATACTTGTGCTGGGATTTCCTCACCTCAACAGATACAGTCTGACACTTGCGTTTCTGGAGAAGGAAACATACCATTATAAAATAATATAGATTTCCTTGGTGTCAACGCCATATCCAAGGTTAAACAATTTATGACAGAATCAAAACAATTTGTTAACATCTGTCTTTTTCATATTTCTTACTATATTTAATATTTGGACAGCAATACAAAAACCACTTCAAAAATTGGGTGTTATCTCCTTAAATTGCAAATAATTGTTGCACTGTGCACCAACCATATAATGGCAACATTTGTCCTTTTCCACAATATTCAAAGCATCAAACATACCTACTTTAAGCAAACAAAATCAACCAATATGTCATCACATGTTATGTTTCAAAAAACACACCTTTTCCTCGTAAATCTTCATGATAGTAGCCTTGGCCTCATGGACACCTTCCTTCTCTCCAGACACAACAATCTCATCCTTCATAACACTAGGTGGCGGCACATGTATGCGGGCTCCTGTCTTGTCTTGAAGCTCCTTCATCAGAGCGTTGTTTGGTCCACAGATGAATGGATGGTAGATCTTAGCAATGGGGAGACGCTCAAATGCCAATTTGGCCTGGCAAGGAGAAAAATTTAAAACAAATACATTATTATTTAATACAAGTGTGCCATACATACAAGTATTTGTATAGTCACAGACATCCAATCTGACTGGAGAACAAGTCTGGTCTATTAATTTAAGAAGTCAGTTAATATCAGTCAAATAAGATTAACCAGTATGTTCTAAAATTTAATAAAAATTTCAATAACATGTTGCACATACATAAATGCACACTCCTTCAGAAACACAAAAATAATCATTTTACATTTTCATTGATGACACACAATAGAGGCCAGCAGACAATGCACTGAAGGCACATTTATGTGTAAGTTGTGACTACCCAACTCAGATCCATAAACCTCAGCCGTTGAATTATCACTGCACTAAGTCAGTCTATCACAACTGCATTGTTAACTCACTCACCTGTTCATCAGTTATCAACTGTAGCTCATGTCTGGCTTTATCTATTCCTTCCTTGGTGCCCACGATACGGATGACGTCGGAGTTCTCCTCCGGACGCGGGATGGTGATCTTGGTGGTGGTGTTCAGCTCCAGCTCCTGAAGCTTCTTGCCACTTTTGCCCAGAATAAAACGATGGTGCTCTCGGGGGATCTTCATGGTAACATTGGCCTAGAAACCAGAATAAAAGGCAGTGTTAGGTATACACCCAAATACTGAATTTAACAATCTTTAAATATACATAACAAAGTATAAAAACAAATACAAAATATAATAATTTGCCTGTTTTTTGTGAGTGTGAAGTGGAAAAAATTCTTCAATTATAATAAAAGATGTAGTCAGTTGGCACTAAATTGGTAAATTTTTAAAAATTGACTTTCAGATAAATACTGCATCTTCCTCCATTATCCAGAGGAGGATTTTTGTTTGTTCATCACATGGCAGGGTCATTTATCATACAAAAAATTAAAAACATTTTTCTTTTCTTCCCACTTCTGTGACAAACCATCACAACTGACCTGGGTTTGCAGTTGGTTGACCACCATGCGCCTCGCTTTCATCACATTCTCTATCTTCCCCGTAATAACCACAGTGAGGCTCTGATCTTTGGCAAGGCTCATCTCTATGGCAACACCTTGTTAACAGAGATTTATTTAAACCAATTAAGAAACTCTCTTCATTGATAATACAAGATCAAAAGACTTACTATTTAGGCTACTAAAAATGTACAACTGAAATGAGTGTTTCTCCTTATTTCAACCTAATTACAAGCTATCATAAATATATCGCTTTCAGTATTCATTTATCCACAGTATAAAAAGTGCCAGCCTGTGAACCTACCAGTTTTCTGCATGATGTCCTTGCAGATCTTGGCCTGTTCTCCTGCCTCGCCAAACCCATGCTCATTGATTTCTTGGAAACGACGCTCTTCTAAAGGAACGCGGAAAACCTGCCAGCAACAAAAAATACATGGTTTTATTGTAATAGCAACAGTATTTTGTCCGTTTTTAAAAGATTCATTCCATCAGGTTTATTTTCGAATAATGCATGAATGAGGAGGGTATTTTAAAATGTTAATCTTTATTTGAATGACAGACATGCTTTTTTTTTTGGCAAAATTCATGTATTCTTAAAGAATATGTTCCAAAAGCCACAACATCTATATAACTTTTATATAACCACAGTGAGAAAATCAATAATAATATAGCTATTAAACAGAACATCATGGCTTATTTACTGTGCTGTTAACAAAACAGAAAAATTCTTCTCTTACCTGGGTTGTAGTAGAAGTCCTCAACATCATCTTATTAGTGGGGCCCCACTGAGCAGCAGCAGGTGTGGATGCAGACGCCCCACCCCGTGGGGACTCCCCCTCTGAGAGGGGCGGGAAGGCCTCATAGTAGCTCGGGATGTCCCCTTCTTCTGACCTGGACGCATCGGGTGCGGGAATGTCCTCGGAGATCTGCGCCATGTCCGAGCTCATAGTCGTATATCAGGTCCAGTCGAACAGCACTGACTAATAGTACGAGAAAACACAAAAGTTGAATGAGCTGTTCTCACTATACAGGCACCACAAAAAAAAATCTGAGACAATTTATTATTTTATCAAAGTTTATTCAAGAGAAACAAGAGGCAAAGTGCAAGCTTCATGTTCTCTCCTTGAAGACCCCCCCCCCAAGA